GAAAATGTGCCCACTATTATGTGGATGTCCAATCAGTGTTGACGGTAAATGTAGTCAACTGAAGCAATTAACTCGTCAGTACGTGACTGTACTGAGCAGGCTTGATAGCTGGACCTGAGGCGGAGCCACAGCCAATGAGAGTGCAAGAAACATGGGGGAGGAGTCACCTGTTAGTCATCAAAAAAAAATAATGAAGAATTCGACACTAAACAGCTAAATTAAGAGCACTTTATTTTTCCAAAAGGGTGGAATGTTTTATTGTTATCTTATATTTTGTCTTTTACTGTATTAAAGCAATTTTGTGTTACATTGAATTCATTATATTTTTTTAATAAATTGTATTAATTCGACACTATTTCTGATTATAAAATGTGCTTGAATTGTAAAACACAGAACTCGGGAAAACATTGAAAATAAAACAAATACAACTGAATCTGTAAAAGCAATGTTACAGTCCATAGAGAGCTTTTGTTTACAGTAAAAAAAAAAGAAGCATGGTTAAGAAACTCCTCACAATAACGGACTCATCAAAAGTCGCAACAGAGCAAAGTTTCTCGCAAATGCAATAGAATCTCAAGATGTGTCAGTTCAGGGAAACAGTCTAAATGTTGGAGCGGTGGGAAGTGATTGGAGTCGCCGATGGCATTAATAGTCAATGGACATCAGACATCACAGGTCACAGCCTCAGTTCGCTCACTTAAATTGAACAGATTATTATGCATCCGTTGCCTTCATTGCATGTATTAACATACTAACTTGCCCGTGTACAGATCCTGTCTGTCAAATTTTGTTTTTCATAAATGTGTAAATGTGCTTTGATCCACATTCACAGCCGTGGCTGTCGCATAAACGTCTGAAATATGAAAAAAGAAGACTATATTCAGAGTTCAAGCTTGAAACATCATTTCTCAGTGACACCACCATAAAAATACAGATTTTTTTGCAGACAGCCTCTCTCACTACGCGGGTCAGCAGACAATTTGCTACCATGCATTACAATACAGCGCTGTAGCTCGTGGAACGTTTTGGTCTCTCTCTCCTTCTCTTTTGAAGCTCCTTGATGAAGCTGTGAGAGGAAGGACTCCTCTCCACCCTCAGCATACGATACAGTTACCACAAAGACTGCAATTAAAGCCTTCAGATGTCAAGTGAACGTATTAAAGCTGAGAGTTCAAAGGCAGACATTGAAGCATCATTAGCTATACGTAATCTGTGGCTATTAATCACAATGGAACAACCCTCACTCATGGGTCTAATGCTTAACTTAACCCTAAATATTCATACTCCGCCTGAAAGCTCCATCAATGACTTTTGTCATACAGCACCTCCTTTTCCCCCCCAATATGTGATCAATGCTCAAAACTAAACACAGCCTTTTCCCAGACAAGGAAACTGATGCGTGAGGAGAGAGTTTATTTGATTTGGTGGATATATAGCACAGACCAACAAATATGTTGATCATAATCCAGTATTGATCCAACACATGCATTAAGATGTAGTAACATTTTCAATGTTACACATCGACACATACAGGGAATGTAACATTTGTGTTACCTGTTGCACATCTCTTCAGGTCATTTGAATAAATCAGCTGGAGCAGAAATTTCAAATATTACAACACTGCATTCCCCACTAAAATGATCCGTCTTACTGAGCCTAATTGCTTTTGTTGTTTATTGAATCACAACTGAAATGCGAGCTGCATATTAATGTCCTTTCGTTGTAACTTGGGGAGAAAAGTGACTGGAATTTTAATAGTTAAAAAAAGAAAAATCCAACAAGAGCCAAATGTGCAGACATCTGCTGCACTACTGCTTGCACTTCTCAACATGAAATTACTATTTTGATAAGCATGTTCACAGGGCATGGTTGTGTCTAAAACCTGTTAGCAGCATGTAGTTCCTATGAAGCCATTCCTTTTTACAGTTCTTTGACAAAAAGGTATTTTTAAGTTTTAGTTGTTTTTTTGTGTCTGTGTTACAGTTCACCCATTTGTCTGCTATCTGGAAAGTGATAAGAACAGGGCTTTGGACGTTGGCTGACGCACACATTTATTGGAGGCATCAAGCTTTCAGCACAGGTGACATTCACCCCTAGACTATGAAGCTGTTGCCTTTAATGGATGTAGAGGTGTTTGATGCTGCTGCTTAAGGTTGAGATGTATACGGAAGCCCTGAGAGGAGGTAGTGGTGCACCTGAGCCTCCTGTGGCCAATATGAGGATTACAAAAACAAAACATTTGTTGGCACATGGTCAAAAATAAATAAAAAAATCTTCATCTTTAAAAAATGTTTACTTTTTAGAAGGATTATCTTTTCACCTGTTCTTCTGTCATAAATACAAGAGAGAAAACAATCTAGATCAGACTTAAAAAATGGATCACCACATTTGTTTTCTTCACGTAAAGTAGTCAGGGAAAGTAATGGAGGGGAGGGGGCAGCGCCCCGCCGGCACATCAGTAACAATTCAGGCGTGGGAAGAGGGCTAATTGTTGAATGACTGGCAGTAGTACGGTTAGATATCTGGTCTATTAGATAACTAATACAAGTAAAATGACCTGAACGTTAGGGGGACTATTTTTTATCTGACCGTCTCCGATGGACTTGAAGTGCAACTTACAGACAAAATGGATCGATCCATTCTTCTCTCGGCAGGCCTAGTAATTAAGGGGTATTTTGGCCGAGTCAATAACGCGAACTGATCTTGCCCAATTTGCTCAAAATTATGAAGAGATAAGAAAGAAAAAAAAAAAAAGACACATTCACACACAATTTATAGAGTAATCAGTAGCCTGCTTCTTCTTTTAGCTCCTTTCACATACAGAATTGTCTGTTGCTTCTCCTGTGCTTAAAGCCACTCTGGGATTGCTCCATTAGACTCAAGACATATCCCAAACATTGCAGAGGAACATCCTCTCCCTGCGTTTGCCCCTAAGTGAAAGGTTCCATTGGTCTGTAGTGATTAGGATAGGCCGTTTGTATCAAAGGTTAGCAGCAAATGAGCAGAGATTTGAGAGACGAGCACAGAAATCCATTCATATTAGTCAGTGTGGTCTTATTGAATTTTGTTCGCTCTGACCTGCTTGCTCAAAAGTAAAAACACATATTTCCCGCAATTTACTCAGAGAGGAGATGTGCTAAAGTGGCTCTGACCCTTTGCCAAAAAACAACGACCCACTCTGAATAGATAAACAGAGGAGCCATAAAGGATATTGCTGCTGGGACTATAATGTCTACTTAATCAAATAAATACGCGTTTCACTCCTCGTTCCAGCCTTCTTTCAACACTTTGAGTACGAACAAATCCAAAAAAACAAACAAAAGAAACAATCATTGTAATTTTCTTTACATCTGATTAAGTCGAGGTCTGCCAGAAAAACAACGGTGATGGTTCCAAGCCCCCATCCAAACTCAGCAGTTTGTGTCTAGCGTGGCAGGGATCCACTTAGAAAACAACAGCAAGAGGCGCAAACATCGCGAAACAGAAATGAATATTTAATAAGAAAAAACTGAGCGAATGCCATTTTATGCCGTGTACTTTTTTAATGTTTAATGCCGATCCAGATGCCGCTGCTCTTAAGTGAGATGAAACATGATACTACATGGCTGAGTTAATAAGACGACAAGCCCGCACCGCCGACACACGGCGACGGACGCAGCTGGGTTCAACAGCTCAGCCCACGCTGCTATACACACCCTCCACTGGGACGGGAGGAGCCAAGGAGGAACAACAACTGAGAGAATGGACTCCAACCCTGAGAAAGGTTTGATTTAGTCAAGTGTGTCATGCCATTCTTGGCAAATCTGAAATGCATTACCCGTGAGCGGTAACAAACCAGGCGGCCGGCACACCGCAGTTCTTTGCCGTGCCTCCCCGTATGATGAGAAGGGATCCGCGATTATGCTGTAAAATGAAATGCTGTAAAATGAAATGCTGTGTGAGAACGTGCGCTGGCTCTGGGACATTACCCTAACCGAGAAGCACCGCCTGCAGGTGGACATCCTTCCTTTGTACTCTCCGGAGAACACCTGCATGGCTGTCTGTCTACCTGTTTGCCATTTAGATTGCCTCCATTATTCAACACCTTGACGGTAGGGAACAAGGGGGGGGCATAGAGTTGTGACAGGTAGATAACACCTGGATGAATAATTCAAATTGGCTGGCTGAGTTAGTGACAAGACAAGAAAGAAAACACAAGACATGTGAATAAATCATCAGAGAAGGGGCTAATGGACCATGCACAGGAGAGGACAAGACTGATACGATCTCACGCTACCTCCTGCTCCGGCTTTAATCCTTCCAACAACCCGGGGATGAATATTCCACATCGAGCCAGCCATACTAATGTGTGAGGATGTAACTGTATGCTGTTTTACATGCTTGAAGACAACAACATTGATGTTGAGATGACGTTGCGATAATCATAACATAATTGTGCTCCATATCCTGCACCGGCACAATATTACAATCAGTGACGCTATTGGCCAAGGAAACTTATAAATGAATGAGGAAATTGAAAATAAATCAGCATTCTAGTTCATTTAGCTTTAATAAGACCTCCACCTCCACTTAAAACAAGAAGGGGAAACTGGCCAAAATTGAACACACAAATAAGTGATGACTTCTGTCATGCGTATCCATCTCACTATCCATTCACTGAAAGTGATAAAAAGCAGTTTGTTTGCCAACTTGGGGGTTGGAGCAAGCACTCTAGCACTTGTCTATCTTTTGTCATGCAATTCTTCTTCAATGAAGACACATTGCCAGTTGCTCTCTGTCGCAGAGATGCAAAACCACAGAACAGAAGCACATTGACGTGGTTACTCCTTGTTTGATCACTCTAGCTCAACTGAGGAACCCGGCCATTGTATTCCCTCGCACCGCACCGAGAATGTAAGCGCCATAGTCAGGAGAAACGGAGCGCCGAATATCAGAATGAAAGCGTGATTGATAACTAAATGAATGAATTCATTATTTTTTTAATGAAGTGGGAGTCTGACCTGTTCGTTGTGAACCGAAAGTGAGAGCGACTCTGCCGAGTAATCCTGGTTTTGCGTATTGGTTCTCATCTGCCCGCACCCAGAAACAGCTCTCTGACATTTCCTGGGGACGGATCTGAAAACAAACATCCACAGGTCAGCACATTTAGTCCATATAAGAGAATCACATCATTTGAAGCAGATATTCGTCAAATATCAAAGCCACTATAGTCCTGCCAGTTCCCAAAGCAAACGTATGTCCCGGTAATCTGCCAGGTAATATTTGGAATAGGAATGCCCCCGATTGATCCGGCATCCCGAGCTGCGAGAAGCTTGAATAAATGGTTATTTGAAGATGTTTTCACAGCAATATAGAATAGATATTAGAGGGAATTATGACCCGTTTAACTTGAGTAATAAACCTTTGACTTATAAAGTGGTTTGTGTGTATGTAACATTACAGTCGCTGTTCATGAGTCAAGAGCTCAGCAGCAACCTTTTCGAAAAGGGTGGCACCCCGAGGTGAATTTAATGAGTTGTGTTATTTAATAAAGGCTTTTGGCTGATTATTTCTGAAAGCTGAAGTTGAGTTCAATCACTCATTCATGTATTTTACAATGCATATTTTTTTTTTACCTTTTGAGGCTCGTCAATAATCTTTCCATATTTTGGTGTTATTTATTGCATCCATGCAACAACTTGGTGGACCACGGTCAGGCTGAAATGCTTGTGAATATTGAAGTTAAGGTCCCAGTGGAGTCGGGTGAAACTCGGCACTAATGGCCCACGTGGCCTTGTAGCTGCTATATGTGTAAGCTGGCAACTGTTTGCTAACACAGTACTCATAAGAGAGTGAACCACCAACATTTTGTCAACGCTTTGCTGCTGCTAGATTGTTTGGTGGGTCTGTTGTCACAGAACTGTAATCATTAAAATGTTTAGCCACTGCTCTCTGAAACTGACTGAGCCAGATTTGGAAGTTTCAAGTCTTATTACTGAAGAAGTTTCCCTGAACAGCTTTTTCCCCAAACATAACCACATGTGTGTGCTTCATACAGCTGTGCCATAAGGCAGGTCCTCCTCATGCCACTTTGAAATTGCAAGCATATGGTTTTGGTTTGCCGAACACCTGTACCGATGTACATCTGAGATTAAATATTAATCAAACCACAAACTAATATCATTTGTGGTGTGAACTAACATTGCTCCGCAGAGAACAACATCTGTGGAGGTACCACGAAGGCGGCTCTGACAACAGCATCTGATCATCTGTTATTTTCAATTATTATTACTTGCTTGGCACGGAGTAACGAAGTTGTTGTTTAAATCTTAGAAAAACATCTGTACTGTTCGGGTTCTGCCAATGAACATCAGGAACAAAAGGAAGAAGGAGCAAAGAAAAGGGCCACTCTAAATATCTGGCCTAAATTTCTTGTCCCAAACTTTTTGTCAGCTGCGAACGGGAAAACATCTGTAATCTCTCTTTATACTGTGGATCGCTCAATTGTGTTCACTTTGAGTTTGATTGGTTTTTAGTTGGTGGTAGACTGCACTGTATAAAATTGGGGATGGTGAAAGATTAGAAACACCTTGCAGTGTTGTTACCTTGGACCAGTTGAGGCGCTTCATGGCGGTCTCAGGCTTGAAATCCTTCTTAGGCCTGAGGCCGTAAGGCAGCGCATGATGAGTGGGGGAGCCTAGACTTCCGCCAAACCCTAGAGGGGGTGGAGGGGGAGCACCAAATGGAGGAGGCAGTCCGGGTGGGGGAGGTGGGGCAGGACAACCGGGTAAAGGAGGCGGAGGTGGTGGAGGAGGCATGCCAGGTGCGGGAGAAGGGGGTGGAGGCCCAGACGGGAGCGCTGAGGAACATGATGCTTGTCCAACATGGGCAGAGGACAGAACCACAGGTACAGCTCCAAACTTGAAAGGTAGGGAGAACAAATAATGCTCATTTTACACAAAGTGGGAAAGTTGAAATTTCTTCTCTCCAGACTCCGGCAAATATTACATCAAAAATGCCCATGGCAGCAAAAAATGAAAGAAATTGCCAATTAACTACCCCAAACAAAGAAACACTATTGAGTTACCCTGGAGCTAGGCACTTAAATACTTTACCAACATATCTAACATAACAAATCTCAATTACTATTATGCTGTCTGTGTAGCCGATAATACGCTGGAGCTTCAGAGAACTTCACTGACGTCCAAAAAACCCCATTAAAAACCCATTATGGATGCATACTGTCGCAATGGTGATGATAGTTGTTGCTGAAATAAAGTCATTCTTGATTTTGGTCTCTTAGGAGGGATTCATTCAGAAGATGAAGACAACACAATGTCAGCTGTTTAGCTGGTTGCTGATGTTGAGCAGTGCTCAAGAAACCCTTCCTGGATAAATACAATAAATGGTGAATTCACATTTCCAAAAAAAAAAAAAAAAAAAAAAAACAGAAAAATGTCTGAAAGTGAAAAGAAAAAAATAGAAGAAGACTAAATACAGCATCTGCCAAGCGTGAAGCACAATATGCTTTCCTCTCTAACACCACTGTGCTTCGGATAACGGAGGCGTGGTCTCTCAACCGTCATGCAGAGGCCAAACGCTCAAAAACCCATCAAGATTCTGTCCAGAACCTTTGCCACAATGATTAGTTTTTCTTGTTTTTGATTTTTCTTTTGTAAAGCTGAAAATCAAATGTTATAACTGAGGCTACAAAGTCCCATGAATTGTATCATACAGAGCAAATGGCTTATTGATCCATGCACCGGTTTTAGATTAAAGACGCACACTAAAAGGTCAGCCCTGGGCCTTTACTCTGCCACTGCCTCGGGAGGGAAGAACTCCTCTGCTGATTTAACAAGCATACCAGCATGTGTGTCGCTGAGAGTCAGGCTGACACAGACGAACAAAGATGGCGAGACAAAGTGTCCGTGTGTGTGTGTATATGTGTGTGTGTGTACCCGCGTTTGTTAAATGTACCACCGCCACTTGAATCAAGTTACTATCGAGTATTCATTCTGTTTGCTCACTCAAATTGAAAAATTATTGTGAAAATAAAAAGGAATTTCTCCTCTCCTCCTCGGAGCGTGTAGTTATCTTGCAGTGCCAGAGGATGGGAGCAACTCTGTGGAGTGAGGTTGAGGTTGAAGATGGTTGTCAGAATAAATTGCTTTTAGAACAATTTCCTCTCATGGGATGAAGATCAGAGATTGCGAAATGGCCAACATCGGGGCTGGTCAGACTTCTCATTAGACTTAGTGTCTGCTAGTCAGTAGAGCCTCCATGTCAACCCAAACTGCAGGCTCCAGCGGATAAAAAAACGACACCCCAAGAATAACGAGCATCTCACAAGAAAGTTGAATTGCAATACGCCACATTTAAATGGGGTTGGTTGAGTCTAATCCAGCGTTTTCTCACATCTCACACGTCCAAAAATTAGCACAATTCACAAAAGGACACTGAAAACCACACAGGTCAGTTACCTGGGATCTGAAGGCCTGCAGCTCCGCTTGGAGTTCAGCTACTCTTTCATCACACTTAACCTGCCGAGCCTCTGCCTGCTGTCTACTTAGAAACTCCTCTTCAAACTGGAACGAGAAAACATATCCAAATAACACACGCCGATATTACATGAATGTAAACAAGAAATCAATAGAAGCAGCTAAGTCTGAAGGTGTAATTATTTTATAGACCTGACATTCATTTTACCTTGATTACCTTTGTTTCCTGATTGAATTTCAACCTTTTTTTAGACTCCAATTCATTAATAAAACCTTTTAATTACCAAACACACACATGCCAATCAGTGAGCCCACCCTTCTAATCAGGATCTACAACCTGCTGCGACCCTGACTTAAATTAATCCCAGCAGTCAATCCATTTGACCTCAGCATGTGTGTGTCTGATTGTGTGTGAGAAACACTGTTTTTGCATTGTAGCGAGATACATTTACAAACATAAAAAGATGAACCTTAATATAGCAGCTTGGGGTGTAGGACACATTAAGACGTACACAATAAACTTTATCTACAGTGATATGGGAAGAACAAGTGTTGCTGTGTTGTGCTGTGTTTGGTTTCCTTGATTGTATAATTTTAAAGTAATCCGTCTGATTATTATTTTATATCCAGTAATACTCACTTTCAAAAGACCCATTTTTTCTGTTTTTTGGGGGAAAGAATCAAAGAGCATTTTAAAGCAAAATCCTGCTAAGTATTGACTGCAAATGTGCAGTATGTTGGGCTCTCAAGTTACTGCTATGATCTCTCATTAATATTTACTAACATAAGCCCCCAGGAATTGTCGGTGCCATGTTTACTTCACAGTGTTAATGTTTTATCATCTAAAAAGATATTATTTTATGAAACAAATTAGAATGAATGCCTTAGTGGGCTTTGTTTTGGCCCAATGTAGTGGATGTGTAGGGGGATGAAACTGTTGTTTTTTTAGTCAATACTTGCCTTTTGTTCCAGTTCTGAAGCTCTTTGTTCATACTCATCAGTCCGAGCTTTATCTACGCACACCTCTGAAAACAGAAAGCAGAATGAAAATCATTTTGTTTTATTGAAATACCTGTGATGTACATAAACCGCCGGAAGTGTGGGACTTGCCTAAGAGGTGGCTGAAGTCCACATCTAGGCGCTTCCGGTAACCGAAGTCTGGGTCAGTGCCGCTACGGTGGAGCACGATTTGAGAGACGCACTCCTCAATGATCTTAAAATACTGGGCTCTGAGAGTCAGGACACGTGAGACAAGAGAGTCAACAGAGACAAGGAGAACAATTCATTTCACTCTTTTAATCTGACGCATGTGTATGCATTTGCTAGAGCTGTTATCTGGACAGATTGAGGTGTGAGAGAAGACAAACCATCTGCAGGAGAAGCAGGGTTAGTGAAGAAATGTGGCACCTCCCAACAACCTCTCCAGTCATTGCCTATTAGGTATCAGAGATTGTAAACATAACAGGTGGGGCTGCAAGCCGGGGCTACTTACCATCACGGCTTATTAGCAAGTCAAATCAAAGCCTGGCGTTCAAACAACAGGTGCAATTTGAAACCAGCTGAGAATCGGGTCTATCCAGAATTATTGCACATCTTTCTCTAACACCAAAGGCCACCACACAACAATGGCAGGGAAGGGTAATAGATGGCAAAGAAAGCAAACATAAGAAGGATGGGGGCTGAACACAGGGCAGAAGAACAGAGACCGTGTTCCCTGTAAACAGATATACAGCATGTATTCCATAAATAAATGAACGAATAAAACATGTTTTCCTTTGTTTTTCCTGAATGTAAACTTCCATTGATGATAAATGGAAAGGCTGCCTGCCTTGATTCTTGGAACTATAATACAGTAAACACAATGGGACACAAGTTAAGGGTCTTTTGCTTTCTTTAATTTCTTTTAAATTTTAAATCTTTTAATTTTCTTTAATTTCTCAATTTACCACTCGGTCTACGTTCCTACCCTCACCTATGGTCACGAACTCTGGGTCGTGACCGAAAGGACAAGGTCGTGGCTACAAGCGGCAGAAATGAGTTTCCTCCTTAGGGTGGCCGGGCTCAGCCTTAGAGATAGGGTAAGGAGCTCGGTCATCAGGAGGGAGCTTGGAGTCGAGCCGCTACTCCTTCGCGTCGAAAGGAGTCAGCTGAGGTGGTTCGGGCATCTAATTAGGATGCCTCCTGGACGCCTCCCACTGGAGGTTTTCCAGGCACGTCCAACTGGGAAGAGACCCCGGGGAAGACCCAGAACATGCTGGAGAGATTACATCTCCCAGCTGGCCTGGGAACGCCTCGGGATCCCCCAGAATGAGCTGGAACATGTTGCCGGTGAGAGGGAGGTCTGGGTCGGCCTGCTTGGCCTGCTGCCACCGCGACCCGACCCCGGATAAGCGGTGGAAAATGGATGGATGGATGGATGCTTTCTTTAAAATGACTAAAACTTTCATTACACCTTAAAAAAAGAACTGTTTTGATGGTATTGAACAATGGGGAATACACACCAACCCTATTACTAGGTGCTGAGTAATTGCGGTTAAATTGTTTCAGATGACTCTCTGTCGAAGGCAGTGATCACAGAAGGGCATGCCACAATAGGAGAGAGGAGATATTATAATGCAACAACAGACGACATGCAAGGCTGGGGGGGGACACAGTGCTATTGCAAGTTAAAGGGAAAATGTGTGTTTGGTCTGCTCATTATCTTACAACACTGTCGCTGAGAGTCCAAATCCCTTCTACACCGAATCATTAACTTGTACAAACATCGATAATCAGGGACCCTGCCTTCCACCTCCTCCGAAAACATGAGAATGGATCTGATAGTATGAATACCGCGTCTATGATTTAGAAGGTGAACCGACGGAATTATTTTCTGAATGAAGATGAAAATACTGACAATCAAATGGAATAAGGCATGTCGTCAGTCAAACTGCTGGTGCTCCTTTCGTGACTCTGACTTAGAGAGCCCTGTGTAAAAGGGGAACTTCATATATGCTTGACATCAAAGACAACAAGAATGAAAAAGCTAAAGATCACTAAGCCAGTCAGGAGCGAGGCAGTGCATTAAAAAGGATTTCGTGGGATATGACGTCTTATATGCCAATGCTGAAAATCAATTATATCAAGGGGACTGAACTGCCGGAGGAAAACTTTCTAAATGTATTCTAAAGAAATACTTGAAGCCAACTTAAGGAGTGTCTGGGCAAAGCTGCAATATGGTATGAGAATGAGGGTGAACATATGCAGTCATCCATGGCATTAAACTACCCATTTAACAATCATCACAGTCTTAATAATAACCAGTCTATACAGTGTGTACAATAATGTGTTTGCCTTTATGGTAACAGTCATCACATGCTTATGAAGAAAAACGTTTTTGCCAACCTTAGTCCCAATACTTCCAAAAATCAAATGAAAAATTGTAGCAATTATTTTTGAATGATATAATCTAAAGCCATAAAATGTGGCCATCACAGAGCGGCCATCACAATTACCAATGCCCAAAGTTTTTCATTGTATTGTGATATAACCCGGTGAAGTTGCTTCAGTCACATACTTGGATAAGAGAGTTATAATTTATGCTTGCAAGAGAAAAGGCTTTTAGGATGAGGGCTTGCAAATGTGTCTGACGAACGTAACGCCATCTTGGTTAACGAGTTTGGCGTTGTTGCTGGAAAGCAGCCAATTTAGAGCAAGAGAGAGAAGCTAATGTTAGCCTAAACTCTGATAGCATCCTGGACCGACGTCCACACAGTGAGAAAAGACGAAGAAACGGTTACAGAGTGGTTGTGCAATTGGTTTTTCTTTCCTCCCTTTTTTTTTTTTTTTTTTTTTAGACATAACCTATAATCATACAAAGTATGAAATGCTTCCCGACCCTGGAAGTGTCTCTGGGTTAGGTTACTAGGTTAGGTAGGGAAGTGGTTTGCTTGATGGACATGCCAACGTTATAGTAGCTTAGGTTCGAGCAGACAGACAGTTTAATTCATCCCTTCACCTTTTTGCTCAAACAGAACAGAACATTGAACAGGCAACAAAAAAAAAAAAAGACGCCACTCTCTGAATTCTTCATACAGTATACGGAGTACTGCTCTTAATGGAGCATATGGAGGCCTAGTTAGAGTTGCTAGGCTATATTGGACATTACTATCCGATTTTCAGCAGAGGGGTTTAGATGAATGGTCAATTGACTAATTGTTTAAGCAGTAGGGTGTAAACAAAGGGTGTGCAGTCTAGATATGCCGTAGTTAATGAGAGCGGAACATGGGGAGGACAGTGTGTGTTTGTGTGTACAGCGATATATTCCTACGCTGTTATTAAGGCTGGAGAAATAGACGGCAGCGATGTTGGCAGCCATAACACAAATGTTAACATTTCGTAATAATTTCAAATGAAGCAAACCAAATCAGCCCACAGCCAGAGCTGAGTGCCACATAGCTCAGGTGTTGATTTTGGGTGGGAGAAAAAAAAACTGCAGGTGATGGATTTCATATTCCTCAGATTAGAGCTCCATCTTTTGATCAAGCCACGGTTTAACCCGCACCCTGCTGGGAGAGAGCCGACATAAAATAAGCCTTTGAAAAGTACCATTAATAGGAGATGAGAAATACTCTGGAGCCATGGCTGCTGTAGATTGACTGGAGATGAAAGAGACACCATTCTCTTTGTTAGCCAATGTCATTGAGTGGGGTTTAAAGTGTGAGACCGCCACAAAACATAAGCTCTTCATCAGTGTACATCATTACCGGTGTTCAAAAGCTGCTCTGACCTCCGTCTGTGTGTGTGTGTGTGTGTGTGTGTGTGTGTGTGTGTGTGTGTGTGTGTGTGCGCGCGCGGCTAAAATGAGAGATTAAAACTCTTATATGTCAGTCATCGTTATTATCATCACACGGACCATCATTTATATTACCGTACACTTCAGAGCCGAGCATAACGAAAATAACAGAGCTGATAAATAGAGCTGATTAAAAACAAATAAAGAAAGTCCAAGTCACAGACACTGAGGGTAATCGAGGGAAGACGACGAGAAGTGAATAAAAGAAAACGCATGCTTCGTTACACTGTAGATAATTAATGTTCGGCGGGTAATGTGTGTGCTGCAGATTTTTACCTGACCAAGTAGTCATTGCGTATAAGCATCAGGTGCTGCAGCAGAGAGAGGAAATAGGGCTCCGCACTGCTGTCCTTCACCATACTCTGCACAATACTGAACACATCCCCCACATCAGTGCAGCGAGTCAAGGACTTTTGAGCAAAACTAAACACGGCATTTCACATTCAAAAAAAGAAGAAGCTACTGGAATTAGAAAAAAAAAAAAAAAAAGAGAGATTTATTTTTAAGAACAACTGAGCTTAGCTGGATGCCTGACTGTTTCACATGTTAACCACATTCACAAGAAACAGACACCGAGTTAGATCTTAGTGTTCCACGTGTTTGTAATAATGACAAGGATATTCCAGCTCGCTCTTGATGTCCTCCAGCCTGTGAGAGAACTCCATCATGTCCTCTTCTTTGTGCTCCTCGAACACCTTTAACTGAATGTCAAGGGCCTCATTCCTGATGGTCGTCAGTTGCTGCGGATGGATTAAGGTAGAAAAAGATTTTAAAAAAACATTAGAATGAAACAGAATAAATCAGAGAGAAAGGCTTGAGACCATCTCTGACATTGAAGCATCAAGCTCAAGTGAAGACAAGGAGCTCCTGCTAAACACTATTACTAATCATGAGAAACAGGCGTGGGGACTAGCTCCTCGCTTTAATTTATTCGTTTTCTTGGCAGCTCCAGCAACAATGTTTACAACAGATAAATATGTTAGGTAGATGGCATGAAAGCCAGTAAGAAGATTATTAGCCAAGGCACTAGAAACCTTATTGGATTGTGGGTGCTGGCACAGGCAGAGGACGTGCAAACTCTCCTCTGTGTTTCATAAATTATTTGCTGGAGCAAATCTACAATATTCCACTGAGGTGGACAACTCATTTAAATATTAATACAAGGTGAGTGTCAGTTTATAGTGTGTGTGTGTGTGTGTGTGTGTGTGGTTACCGGTAATATCTCTTTCAGGCCACAGCGCATAAATTCATTTCTGATGTGCAGCCTGAAGTCCAGCTCATCAGGGGATGTTACTAGTGCATTGATGAGCTGCATGCATGCAACCTGCAACATGAAGGGTACACAGAACAATGAGAGAGAGAGAGAGAGGGAGGGAGGGAGGGAGAACCAGAGAAAGAGATGACGGACTTCTTCTTCCAGAAGTTGATGAAAAGCATGCCGGCATGCATTCTAAATGAGTCATGTCCCTTGGAAGCAGAGGACCATAACTAATGCATGTCTATTTTCTCCAGCCACCAACTCGAGGGGTAGGGGGCTGATTTTAATATTAATGCAACAACTGCAGACCCATACACATAAAACTAACTAACAGTCAATTTCAGGGCAAACTCGCTCTTTTGGAAGTTGTTTTTCACTCCTCTATGAGTTTGGTTTACTGCTCAGGGACCGCCGCATCCTGTGACTCTTCAACGAGCCGGGCAAACACAGACAGAGAAATCAATTATTGATCAGTAAAGCAATCCACTCATGTGTGAAAAGAGGGTATGGCTATGCTAGGGCCAAGGAAGGGTATTCAGATGTTTTCAGGTTCATTGTAAATTCAACGGCGCACTTTATTTTATTTTTTTTTGTCATGGCACTCAATCTTAGTTATTACCCGTCTTTAAAGTACAATTTTCTATATTAGAATTCAGATAGGTAGCATTACAAAGTGCCACAAAACCTTTTTCTTGACATGTCACTGGGGTGCAATGGCCGTCAAGAAAACAATGCCATTGTTATATTTAAAGATGGTAAGAAATATTTGAATGATTGCCTTTAATCCAAATAGCCTTCGGTTTCAGTGTACACGTTCATTCAAAGTCAAATCAATACGCAGAGCGTTGACACTTGCTGGAAACACCTAATCAATACCAAGAGACAAGGGAAGGCGGAGGGTCAAGAAAGATCACTGCAATGCTTTCCATCACTTTCCATGGGTGAAACAATATAGATGCTACAGTATATGAAGTCTGTAATTTGATTCCAGCTCCTCAAACATTTGAATCGTTCATATCAGCATATTCAGACACCAGCTCTCCTCACAAATACGTAAAGACGCTCAGACTTTAAGAAAGAATTCAGGCACATTTCATGATTGACGGTCTGTTTACACTCATTGTATAAATGAATGCTTTCCCCGAGCCAAAGGCTGCCCGCCAGTGGAGACTGCGTATAAATGCAGTCCAGTAGGACAGAGAGCCTTTGGCCACACAGTATAATGGTCAGGATATCAGCATCCGTGCTTTAATAATGCATGGGGCTAAAAGGAAACTGTGCTGTGTATTAGGAAGTGGAAAGTAATAACAAAGCGTCAAAGCCTTCCCTGACCATTTTCCTCCTCTGTTGCTTCCACCCTCTTAGCGTGTCCCTACGGTTTTGCACCTGTCAAAGGTAGTTGCAGCAAACGCTGCGGATCTTAGCTACGGGGGGCAGAAGAGGTATCATCATATATTCAAGTTTAACATTGGTCACTGCATGAGTGTATGAAACAACCAAAGGAGCAAAAGGTAATGTGTTTCAGATTGTTTTGCTGGTCTGGTGTGTGTGTGTGTGTGTGTGTGTGTGTGTGTGTGTGTGTGTGTGTGTGTGTTAGGTATTGGATGAATGATCACTCTCTTCACATCCCTCAGCTACCAATTAAAAATGCAGTAAAACATACTTTAATCATGAATTACATTATTGTGACACAAACTGATGCCGTCCCCCTTTAAAGCAGCCCATGTGCAATATCTCAGTGTGTGCAGCAGCAGGGAGATGATACGTCTGAACAATTATGTCCACGGAGAGAGGGATTACAAGGAAAGGGAGAGCATCAGATGCCGTAAATAATTTGTCAAACCATGAAGTTGATTAAGGGGGGACTCTGAGTTTACAATATATTAACTTATGAGCATGAGAGAGGCAAAGCTTCTTTATCTATAGATTAGATTAGAGATTGTTAACTCTTGGTATTGTTGTGGTGTTGTTTTTCTTCGCTGTTGTTTGTGTTTTGTTCTTACTGCACAATGATTTAATTCCTAGTTCTACAGTACGTGATGTAGTTTGTTCTACAGCTTATAATTAGCTACAATGCTAACAGTATCACCAGTAGCGGTTATTACATATTGCAACTGCAAATCATGGAAGATCTTTATCTGAATTGAGCAACTAGCACCTTTACACAATGATTATGTTCATTACTGAACAGGTGCAAGGTACTAGGTACTCGGACACTTAACCATTATCGATACATAAACCAATTCCCTCCAAGAACAGTTAATAAACACTAGCCACTGAATATATACGGGAACACAAAAGTTTGATAACTACAATAATAGTCAACATATAGGTGCTTCAATGTTGCCATCGTGACTGGAACACCCAGTTTGGGCTTAAAACAAGACTATAACTGATAAAGACTTTTCTGTTTTTAGACTAAAGATTTCATGACAAAGAGACCCTTGAACATAGAGCGGTTTGTGATATATGAAAGTCGACTTCCTACAGCCTTTCTATATTTCATTTCAGAGAAATCTGAGTGAAACGACAGGGTGTCAAAAGCTGTACAGTGCATGTGCTTTGCACTTACTTGTAATTGAACCGAACGATCTCGTAGTCCCTGGACAATGGGACTGAACCTCTCCATGGCTCGCCACTCCCCTGCTGTGGTGATTGCTTCAAGGACCTTTTCCAAACTAGATGAAAACAAGAAATGCATGAGCGCACAATTGGGGAGGAAAAAAAAAGGAAGACATACGTTCATTTAAAGGGATTTTGACCATGCGCTCTGTCCTTTTCCACTGCGCCTGAGGTTCCTTTATTGTCAATTTGACACGAGTGGATGGGCCTTTTCCCGGGGGATTTCATCACCTTCACGCTAAAACGTGACTTATGACTCGAGTAGGATTGTGATAAAACTTATGATGATCAATAATTAACTCATGTCAACAACTAAATCAACTGGACAAAATATTCTTTCTTACTTGAAAATGCATACTGTACATTATCTATTTTCTTTGCAGCCACTTTAAATCTCTCAACCTATTTTCAAATATTTTCTGCATTTCTGCAAAAAACTGTCTTTCAAAATGACAAAAGACATGGATATGTTGACAGAATGAATGAAGGTCGAGCATACGTGTTCTCTTCGCCCACAATGCAGATGGCTGACAGCAGCTTCACCACGTCGGTCATCATGGCAGACTGGGAGGGATCAATGGCTCTTGCCAGTAACACAAGACTTTTCTCCTCAGCCAGGATTCGATCCAAGCCATACTGCAGTGAACACAAAATGCAAAACATGATGAACCAGATATGCTGTGATTCTCCCCATTTCCAACAACAAGAACACAATGTGCCGTGGAACAGTAAAACCAAAAATCGTACACAAGATTCATTCAAATTCACGATATTAACCGTCACTCCAAATTAAGTTTGAATGATCAAATGTTTGGCCAAAGTTAGCCTCAAGGTCAACAGTGATTTTAGTTCCATGTATAATGCAATGCTACTCAGAGGTCTGGCACAGTACAGAACGTGGCCAACAGAAAATGTGATTACATGGCAGGGAAATTATTGACCTGATTTAGATGAATTCTGCTTTGTGAGTTTTACCGTATGTTGTATGCCAAAGCCAAAAAAAAAGAAGAAAAACAATCCTGTAAGAACACCATCTTTAAAACTACCCTGATTGTATGTGTACTTGTTAATACAGTAGTAGGATGTGATAACAGCACTGTACAATGAAGAAGAGTTTCAGCAACAGTCAGAGCTGTAATTACGGCTGAACAATGAGAACACAGTTTCATTCATTGCTTGTGGTTAATAAATTCTTCTTTTTTTGGGGGGAAATTAAAATATCCGGGACAAATAATGCATTTCAATTAATTCACTCTTTGTGTCGCAATGAATTGGGCTTTTCTTTTACCAAGGAAGGCATCAAAAAGTGACGTTTTTCTCTCTTTTCACAGTTTACAATTACAAAGTGCTTCTGTTGACCTGGCATTGACACCAAGCACTACTGGGCTCTCAAATCAAACTGTCTGTTTGCCTGTTTGATGTGGGCTTTATACATTTGAAGAAGCAGCTTTGTCCTTGCATCCGAACAGTTATGTGCAAGTAGTTCAATCGTTTGCTTACTTTGTTAGAAATATCATTACTTCTCTGTCACATTTCTGTTATGTCCGTCATGGTATATTCCCTTATCTCACGCATTTAACTGATCAAATAATTAACGGCTTCGCAAAACACATTTCATGACAAGAGCACAGTAATTAAACGGTGTACTTGTGTACTTCTGTGCTGAAGAAGCCAGCGGTTGCTGAATTTCCAGGAACAAAAGAAAGCTGAACTGTGACAGCCCTCTGTCATCGCTAAAAAAAAAAAAAACAACAGAAGTTGACACAGCTGGAGAAGGATTGTCTATTCAAACACACGTCGGATGTATATACTATATATTTTATGAATTGTTTTGATATACTTTGTAAAAACCTGGCAGATCTTCTCAATGCCATTGTTTACATACAGTTTAAAGTAGCGTATACAGAAGACAAAGAGTGTAAATACCGAGCAAAATTGTAGTCTGTGGGTCGTGACAAAATCACGAAAATGAAATAGAAGTCAAATTCAGAGTTGTATATTATAAACTAATCTATATTGGGTCATTTTCTTGATACTGTTAAGTTCAAAGGGCACTTTCACAGGGTGGCAACCTTTAGTATTACATTATTGGACATTGGTGACAGACAATAGAAAACATGCAACTGTATGACTTGACGCAGGAAAGGCAGAAGAAGAAGAAAAAGGTTGCTCTGACAGTTGGCAGAGAACACCTGTCTTCTTGGCATTGTGGGTACATCCCATCCCAAGATGCCTCTCCAGCCAGGGAAAGGTCTGGGCTGACAGAGAGGCCTACGGGTAAATGCTGGCATCTGGCGTCTGTTGAGACGCAGGATTACATGAGACCTTACAGCACACTGTGTGCCAAGGTGCCTGTATATCTGTCTCCGTTGGGTTTTAGCTCCATGTGGCAAGATTTTTTTTTTTTTCCCCAGAGCAACTGTGGACTCACAACATTCAAGGAGGAAAAGCAGAAGCTTTGTTAAAAATAAAAGATACTTCAATGGCACATATTCTTACGAACATTGTGCTTAATTAAGCCTGGGCGGTAATTCAATACAGTTGTCCATTGACCTTGAGTGGAAACATTTTATCACAATATGATCGTATTGTTTTATGGTTTTGGAAATGTGTTTGCTTAACCTAAGCAAAGTGCATGAACAAATTGTTACTATGGTGTGTTCACACCAAACGCTTGGTGTGAACACATCACAACGCAGCGCGGTGTGAATGACGTGAATGGTGTGAATGACGTGATTAGTGTTTGGTGTGAACACACCATAAATAATATGAAAATGAGCTATAAAGGTTTTGGGGAAAAAACAACAACTTCCATGCTCACTGACTTTGATGTATTGTACTTAAAAGTGCATTCAGGGATAGGCTAGAAATGGCAGCTTGTCCGTAGAAAGGTTATCTAGCACACATAATGAAATGACTTAACTCCGTTAAACTGTTGTTTGTTGTTGTTGGTGGTTTAAACAATATTTGCACTACTGTCTAGTTAGTTAATTTAATATTCTATTTCATTGTATGTATTGTGTATTTTTTACTGTTATTTTTAATGTATATATTGTGCATTTTTATTCTCAATATTTTAAATTTTTTACTCTGTTACTTTGATTGCTTACCTGTATCATAATGCTGCTGTAGCGATAATATCCCCTTGCGGGATTAATAAAGTATCTATCTACCTATCTATGACTTAAATCGGGTCGGTAAGAGATGCAAAATGTCCGTCTCAGTACATTTTTTGGTTTATTGCCCTGCCCTCCTTTTTATGTCTTTTCAAAATGCCATTTTGTTTATTTTCCTTCTCAAGGTAATCTGTTCTGTGTAACACAACGGCTGTCCGTGTCCATTTATGTCCACTGATCAAACTCTGCTGCGGCCAAGAGCTACTATAAGGAGTCCCAGGAACGAAACTCAGACACTAAATCCATAACCAAAAGTCTATTTTGCACGATCCTGTTGCATTTAAAATGCATCTAAAAATCTGTAAAGTAAATAAACTGCTTTGTTTGAGATGCAATATCCACCCACAACAAAACAACACAGAGATATAGAAACAGAGACACACTGTTGTGTGGTATATGGTTATTCATTTGTTGTGGAGTACATTATTACCACATTGAAAGAATCTGCAAATACAGTCGTTTCTTTCTCCCTTTCCTTAACTTACACTCTCTTTGTTAAGTACTAACTCCAGAGTGGGGACTTTTTGCACGCCAGGAAACTTAGATCTGTGCAAATATGTCACACAGCATCATCCAGATTGCATCAGGACATTAGTAAAACTCCGCCCAATTGGCTCCATATTGTTGTGAAGCTACTCTTCTTCTCCACTGGTCATAAACCCTTTGTAATTGAAATCCCAGGTGCCTAATTTGGTAATTGCATGACAACACCAGATGTCGACATGGATGGGATTAAAATTACCCTTGGAGATCAGACTCGACTGAAAATACAAAAAGTTATTTCGGATAGATTTTTTTCCCCGAAGGGTAAAAGGACACAACGGAATAACATGGAATAGTAAAATTCTGACTTTGGTGGGAGAACACCTGCCACCACAGCTGCACCTTTAATGAGTCTCTAAGAGTTCATCCAATGGCAAAAACTCCCACATAAAGTTAATGTTGGCTATAATGCCCACAGACACAAACAACCACTGAAAAACATAAACGCAAAATCTTTGAATCAACCGAAGAAAATTCTCCTTCTACTTGTTTTCTCTCATGAAACGAAATACTAGTAAAGAATGACACCCCTAGTGTTGGGCAATGAAAAGCATTAATCTAAGGTTAAACAAACTTACTGTACTACCAAAATTAAGAAATATTATCAATTGGGTCTGCTGACAAAAGAAGATGTATTGTCATTACCTTATTGTTCATGATGGCTTTGAGACACTGGACAACTTTGTGTTGATTCTTTTTGTCGAGCTTCTCTTGCCTGGGGACACGAGAGAGTAATGAGGAGCAGTTGGTCTCTAAAGTACAGCGTGAAGACTCCAAACTGTATGCAGGGTGTTTGAAGAGGAGTGTACATTGTCATAAACAGACACAGGACTCTGAATAAAGAATTGGAGTGAGATAGGAGAGAGTCTGTGCAAGATTACACAGGAGTGAGGGCGTAAACTTACTGTTTCTTGAACAGCAACCTTTCCAAAACGTCCAGCAGCAGTCCGAGACCCTCATGCCCGAAGCTCTGCACCCAACTGAAATAACAAACATCAAATCAATATCATAACAGTGTAAAACTGACAACTGACGGCAACACTTCCATGCTCGTCCGCCACTGTGGAAAAGTTTTAAGAAAGAAAAAAACAAGTAGAATTCAGTACTTTGTGCTGAGGAGAAAGCAGCAGTAGCAAACGCAGGATCGCATAGTAAGAGCATCTGCAGTGACATATTATAGACATAGGGAAACAGCAAATGGAAAGCACATTCAGACACAGTTAAAGCTAGAATTATCTATAGAAGTCCTGTAGTCTGAACCAATACTGCATTTGTGAGGATGATAACCCTATCAATATTTGAGAATGTACAGATCTAATAATGGTCATTAAACACATGATGCACACCAACGTCTTTGAAAAGGATTCCATAAATGTTTTCAAGATACATACCGAGACATTTTACAGTTAAAAAATAACTGTAAAATGTATTCAGTGTTGTTTGTCCAAAGATAGAAAAACACTTATACCAACACAATGTTGTTAAAGGCCTTTACACAGTGGCATTGATCTTCTGAGTGAAAAAATGAAAAATGGCAAAAACTAAAAAAAAGTCACAATGGAGAGTAAGGAGTTCGGGGCCAGAGGGAAATGGAGGTTATACTAACATGATGCAAGTGACATTTGTGAGACGTATCATTCTCAAGGAGGTTAAGCAAGTTCACAATGCTCCATCAGATATGCTATCGGAGGATTGAATTTTCAGACTGCTCTGTGTGAGAAAGTTGATTTAAGACACATTTTATGGAGAAGGTGCCTTTGATGGATCCCAGGGGGCCGCTGCCTGTGATTAAAGAAGTACTATCCAAAGCTTGGGACAAACATAATGTATAGCTTGATGGTATTTATAAAAGGGCATATTTCTTTCCAGTGAAGGAGACATAGTTTGAAGAAGCAATGCCGGGTGTGTCTACATAGAGAATCAAACTAATTCCTATTTTACATGAGTGCTCGTCAAAATATCAGACATTAAAAGGGATAGTTTGTGCGTTTTGAAGTGGGCTTGCATGAGGTACTTATCCATAGTCAATGTATTAGCTATAGGAAAAGGTCAGCATGCCCCGATTTTGGAGAAACTGACACAAGTATAAACACGGAAGCGAGGTAATACACAACTGTGGACGTGGGCGGCAGCAAAATGTATTTTAGCCACCTAAAAGAAAAGCCCACCGAAAAAAAAAAAAAAAAAACAACTATCTGTATCAGTTTAAGTGTACGCTATATCTTCTCTGGCACGATCAACATTATCACGACATCAGAATATGTGGTGTTTATTAAGTTAACGGGGGTTTTTTTTCTTGCTCAGCTTCTGTAATTGACCCTTCGCTAAGCCCCGCCCCCCGCTGCTGTCAGAGCTACCATGGAGCCCACAGTGTCATTAACGGCACTCCCTGCATGACTATTATCCATCGATTCTTTGGAAAAGGTGATTAAACAGTGAAAGGAAATAGTTCCTACATGAAGCCGTTAACGAGGTCTGCGAATTATCTTGAATAACCGGGTCATGAGTTCTGGAAAAAGACATCGCTGTTGAGTTTTTTTTAAGCAATTTTTTTTTTTTGCCACTTTCTATTGAAAAGAAGGCAACAATCTTCACGACCGATTCTTCAAAACTAGGCAGCTCACACCTAAACAATCTAGATCGATAAATAGCACTACAGGTAAGAGGAAAAAATACGTATTTTTTTAATTTTGGAGTGAACTTTCCCTTTAAACTTGTTCCTTAACAATTAGGTCAGGTTAGGTTAGGATCTCTCTGGATCCACATGTTGTGAGAGAACTGTTAGAAGTTAATAACGCAGAAAATAGGGCATTCCTCTACATAAACCAAACAGTTCCTTTAGTCTTCCCAGTTGTAGTTTACAGATGAAGGAACAATAGTGTGTGTGTGTGTGTGTGTGATAGTGGCACATAGCATAACAGAAGCAATACGCTTTTGACTTACGAAAACTATTCCAATTTTGAGACTTCTTGGATGCAATCAAAACAGAATGCAATCAAGATTCAAAACAGTGTTAATATTTCTCGTCACTGAGACATCAAATGCTGGAGATCTAAAGTTTTTACCCAAATGTGACGGTAGGCAATGGGACAAAGAGCAGCGAGAACAGAGAAGTTTTAACTTTGGTTCAAATAAAGAGCAGAAACAGGAACAAATAAATTGTTTAGGCAAAACCCTTTAGGGTATATATGCAAAAAAACAGAGACAAAGACAGCGTGAGTGAGATTGGGAGCGACTGCAGCTCCCTCCCGATTGAAACTGAATAACCTCTCTGAACATTAGCATTCAGTGTTTGTACAGTCCTAATCAACAAGCTGCATGCCTCCCAGCATCAAATCTACAGAAATCCTCAAGGTGAAATCATAAAATGGGAAGCCGTTATCTGAGTTGAATATCTTTAAAAGGAGTACGAGGTTGTATGTAGAGCATGTCTCTATGCTCGTTTTGTTTCACATAATATGGTGTTCACACCTTGAATGAACACAGGTGACGGCTGATTTCCATTAATTTTCTACCAAAACACAAGGAAACACTGCACTGGTGATGCAGTGACTCAATATATGTAGAGGGTAGTTTATTCAAAGAGGCAACACAGCAAATGTGACTGCAAATGGCGTAAGGCAAAGTTAATTCTTTTTCGACTGAAAAAAAGAAGACCATTGGGCCACTGCAGCAGGTAATTCAAGCTCGTGTAATCGAATTTAGCTCGCCAACTTTGCTGCTTTAAATTCAGTAACTTCACAAGGATAGCTACAGTAACTGGTGGGGTGGTTTATACAGTTTCAAAACAATTACAAAGTGCTGAAGTGTGCAGTAGTGAGCATTACACACATGACACCGTCTCGTGCACATTAAAGTTGGGAAATCATCTCTGTACTTCGGCTAATCGATTGAGACATCGCCGCTCAGTAGGTACAGTTCTTGCAATTTCAGTTTGCTTAATCAGCAAAAAAAGGCAAAACTCTAGACCCTCTTGATCAAACATTTTTTTTACGCAAACAACCTCATACTGGGAGTCAGATTTAGGCTTTATGTCTAAACTATACCCTGTGAGTTAGATGTAGCAATCATCAAAGGGGGAAACATGTGTAGCTTAACCAGGATGTGTTGGGTTTTAATATGGTCAACCATCGGGCCAATAGCAACAACACTGATCTTGAAAAGCTCCCAACACGTTGATTTAGGTATGATAAAACTAGCGAATGGTAAGACCCGTTTTAAAATCACCACGGCTTCAGGCTGCAGCGAGAAAGCAGAGTAGGTGTACGAGTATGTATGTGACAAGGACGGCCGCCGCCGCCAAGGTAACCAAGTATTGAGGCTCTCATGATTGAGAAAAAAAAATAAATCACTTCTCACTGGGCCGTGGCCATTGTGGTTATAGAGTAGGCAAGGCGAGGGTCTCGACATGAGCGTCATTGAAATGCATAACTCAGTGGCCACTGCATGCTGGCTTTTCATCATCAGCAGCTGAGGCAGAGAGCAAAGGAAAATAACCGGTTGATCTATAGCAGGAATTATTGCACAGGAAGCCAACAAGCCTGTACTGTCAGGGTCTGCTGCAACAAATTTGAAAGACATTTGCCTTGAAACACATGAGTGTTTTCAAAGGGCGTCGGGTAAGAGGCCTGGCAAATTTAGTACATCTCAGAGCCCAGAAAAGGGGCAATTTAATAGCTGTCCACAACACCTGGAGAAAAGTCTCATCTTCACGAGCGAGAACAATCAGGCCGAGGCAATAATGTATCCAACGAATGTGTCTTCGTCATAGCCGAAGGTCAGGAAGTAGAGCGGGGCTAAGACGGATAAAGCTGTGCAGACGGACACCGTGCAGTTCTATTGATCTTGTACATTGCGTTAACTCACGTGACCTTCTACTTTTATGCTGACAATGAACAGCTCAATTAAAAGGCTCACACCGAACGTAAGCACAGTTCCCCTGGTCGGTTTTGTCCGGTGACAATGCCAATCAAGTTGTTTTTTCTAACAAGAGGGCTACTAAAAAGACAGAGAGGCTAGCAAGAAAGAGAAAGCTGGATTACTTTGTGCAATTCTCATTTGAACAGAAAGCAAGAGGAGCAAAAAATTTAAATATAAAACCGCAGAGGTCTGGAAGATGCAGAGAATATATTGTTTGTCAGCTAGTTCAGTTGTATCATGGCAGTCTCAAGACTACAGTTTTTTTTCACAACATGCAAAATACTTTTGCAGTAATAGCAAAATAATACATTTCCAGAGCAGTCGTGGGGACCACTGACAAATTGTCTAAGAACCAGACCGTTGATCATTCAGGCACAATGGCTTCCCTCCACCTGCACGTCAAACGACAACCAATATGGCGGACGTTGCCCTTGGTTCGAAAATGAGTCGGGGTCCAGCTTATAGCCACCAACAGGGGCTCGTGTGTTTAATAATGTCACCTGTCATCTGTCTGTTAACTGTTGATTCCTCATGATTAGGTTTATTATTATACTGCAAGCACCATGTGTCCATACACTAATCCAAAGCTAAAATTGAAAGAGTCATATCAATAAGGCTGCAACTTCCATAATACGGAAGTTCCTAAAACAGTGAAATTGTAGTATCCAAGTTGATGATAATAACTTTCTAAGACAGTAGTAATATTCATTTAGTCACAAGTGCTTTGCAGTTGACATGCTGTCTGTCTAGACTCGAAAGTAATTAGTATTTAAAATTCTGTTTGCTAATCTGGCGTGCTTTGGCAGCCCTTGGGTTTCATTAGTTCCTAACATCTGGCACCCCTCCCACATCCCAAATGAAAAACTTTAATCACATTCTCTGCCTCAATGTCCTCAGTGTTCGGAGCCGTGTTGTGTAACAAAAAATGATCTGAAAACACTTTCCTCAGCTTTTTTTCTTTGCTAGAGAAACTGCAGCAAATGATTTATGTCTGACTGCTACCTGTTAACATTGTCATTGTCTTTGGTCATCTAGCGTCATACAGATGAGAACAGACACA